GTTGTATATATAATTTTAATAGAAATCTAATCGTTTTTGTATCTTTTTTAAATAAACCATACAAATTTCAACATTCTCATATAAAAAAAGTTTGTATTTTTAAATGATTTATTTTTATACAATATATATATATATTTAGTCATATAATTTGATTATTAATTAACAGAAAGAAATAAAAACCTTTCATAAGGTATGAATCATCGAATTGAAATCTACATAATTTCATATTAATTAAAAAAAATAAAAAACAAGAAAATGTAATAAAAAGAAAGAAAGGTATACGATGCGTAAATGCAGGTAGATATTAAAAAGAAAAAAAAAAATTAAACGTGGGTACTTCGTTCCACTTTCTAAGTAAATGTTTTTTTTTTCTTTTTTTTTTTTTCTCTCTCCACAACCGATAAGAATATCATTCGGAGTAGTTTGAGCGAAGGAAACAGTAAAAATGTATATTTTTTGTATTTTTTTTTTTTAACACACAAACTCTTAACGAATACGTTAGAAAATTTCAAAGATCATAGCGAGAATGACGTAACACACCTGTACACAAATACGTATATATATATATATATATATTATACTTAAGTACACGTGTACACATATACTACGCGCATATTATCAACTAAAAGTAAAATAATATTCAACAAGATAAACATGAATTTTTTTTACAATCAATAAAAATATCTTACGTTTATATTCTATTTTCAATCAATCAATCAATTAAATTAAAAAACACAACGAGATATTAATAATCATTTCAATTATAATACAATTTATTATATATAATAATTAATTTATATATATAATAAAATATATATATATATTACAATACGTTGTAAAAGTTAATAAAATACAATATATACAATACAATATTTACAATATATATATTTACAATTATAAAACCAATCCTTAAATAAATGGCTAAAATGTTATTATATATATATAAATGAATTTATATAAAAATTCAAATGAATTTTGTGAAAACTTTTTGCTGATAGTGTTAATACATACTTAATCTAACAAGTATGTGTACATTTAAATAAACAACAGTTATCTCTGTCAGCTAGTCACTCAGTTAGTCAGTCAGTCAGTCAGTCACTCAGTCAGTCAGTCAGTTAGTCAGTCTTGATCTAATTGTAAGCAATTTACACTGTTGTAAGATCGTTGGTTGGTTGGTTGGTTGTTTGTTTCATATCTTTGATAAACGAGAAGGATAGTGTATGCTTTGGTGTCTTCTGTCTTAGTCAAAAACCCTTGGAATGGGTTACGCAATCTTTGTAATCTGGGACGTATCCGTTATCATCGTGTGTATCTTTGAGTAACACGTTTATATATTGCATCCTCATGTTCGTTTACAAAAGAGAATATGTGTGTCGAATGTATATACCATTATAAGCCCTATTTATTAACACGTATTGCATTATATCAACAAGATATTTTGTTTGGTTTTGTTTTTTTAAAATAGGAAAGAAAAAAAAAGTGTATTCCAAATAAATACCGGTTTCAAAGTTTATTAGAGATTGATCAATAAAATTGTAGACACGCAATATTTGTTGGTAAATTTTATTTATATAAGTTTTACTAAATATACAAATAAAAATGTGTGATTTATATGTCGTTGATTGTTCATTGGATAAAAGTGAAAATAATTGTGAGATAAAATTGAGGAAAGGAAGTTAATGATCATATTGGTAAGGAATTTAAACGACGATTAGAAAATAGGTTTGCTTTTTTTATTTTTGTTGTAAACAAAATTAGATATAACTAACATTTTAAAATGATTTTTGCTAACTAACACATTTTAAAATGAAATAATAATATTTATATTGTATGATACGTATTAATACATAAAAATACGATTATTTGTTCATTTATATATATAAGAAACATAATTTTAAAAATGAAATTGAATAATAATGTTTAGAAAAAATCAGACAAGATGATAGGAGAAGTAATATTAAAGTTAGATCTAATATATAGACTGTAGTTTATTCTTGTCACTTTTAATTATAATTCCTCGTGATATAAAATACGGTTTATAGAACTAATCAACTGAGTGCTTACAAGTTAATAAAATGAAATAATACATTATTTTCCCACGAGAAACAATATGAGTTATTTTATTTTGATTATATTTATATTTCAATTTATATTATTTTTCATTTTTTTTTTTTTACATTAAAATGTAATAATATATAAAATATTTAAATATCTAACGAGAGAGAAAGAGAGAGAGAGAACAAATAATAATAATAATAATAATAGTAATTTATATAAATATATAAACTCTAACAGACCTCCACAAATTTGTTATTAAGTCACGTATAAATATTATTAATAATAATACAAGTATACTCACAATTATACGTAAGATTTAATTATTAATATCAGCCACAATTATTTTCGTTTACAATGAATGTATCGATTGAAGTAATTCATTGATTCGTTTATTTTTTAAAATAAAAATGAAAAACAAAATCGTTCTTTTATATTTATAGAAAATATAGGAACGATCACGAACTATTTATTTGTAATATAGGTCAAGTTACTAATTGTAAGTACTATTAACTCATGTATACGTTTAATTACTGTCTATGGTCAATACGTTCGTTAAGAAATCACTCTAAATACCCAAACTAAGAATGTGGACATATACCCATGGATAGGAATTTTCCTATGTTAGGTATACGTTTGCATAATTATCTTTAACGTTCACTATTAATAGAATTTATCTATTATTTTGTTCTTTTTTTTCTAGTTTCTTTATCTATAGGAAAATAAAAGAATGAGTAATACAACACACATACATATATATATGTAGTATTTTCTATAAATTATTTTTAATAAATAGAATATTAATAATGATTATAAAAATATTTATAAAACAGTTAAGTATACTACATAAATAATATATTTTATATTTTCTATATGTGAAAAATAATAATATACTTACAATATTTTTTAGATATCTTTAAAAAACGAAACTATACAATCTATTTATAAAATGAACTTCAAATTCACGATTCGCGTACATAACATAATATATATATACATAACATATATCATACAATCCCCATTTTTTATCCGAGATTTTCAACTTTATCGCGAAATATTATATGAAAATCTCAATATAATATCCCTTCTTTTCTATACCGATTGAAAAAGATTTAAGTTTGATCGTGTGAATGGATGCGTGCGGCAACGATTGAAAGAATTCTTTCGATATAAGAAACGAAAAAAAAAAAAGAAGAAGAAAAGAGTGAAATAGTGAAAGAGAAGGAAATAGTAGTAGAAGAAGAAGAAGAAGAAGAAGAAGAAGAAGATGAATAGTTCTTGGCTAATATTTGAACCTCTTGAAATGTCAGCAATCTCATTTGTCGACTAGCCCCAACGGTCCTCCCCCTTTCCCCTGCCCTACCTCACCCCATTTTCTCCCCAGTTTCTCCCCAATTTCTCCCCAGCTTCTCCATTTTGAATAATGGATCAGAGATGCGACTCATGGAACACAAAGTAGATATCCGCGGTATTCGACCGATAACAGCTACAAAGTGCTTTTACCATAGTATCCGTTTATGGCAATTTTCACATGGCTGGCTCCTTTTGCACGTTCCTATCATCTACACATCTTAGATACACATTATTAACTATTATCTATGATATCACGTATCTTTTAAAAGTTAATCGAAAAACAA